GGTTTTTCTTTATGTTTACTATTTTCTACATTGTAGAATATTAGTGAAGACATCAAAACTATGAAATAACACATATGAAATCATGTAGTAAACAAATAAGTGTTAAACAAATCAAAATATATTTTAGATTTAGATTCTTCAAAGTAGCCACCCATTGCCTTGATGACAGCTTTGCACACTCTTGGCATGTGAGCAGCTACAGTATGTGGCTGTAATAAGCTTTTGCTCTCCCAGAATGACTCATGCTCTCTCCTCTCTATATACATTCCTATATGCAAAGGTATGTTTGTGTGGTCCCTGGGTACACTCTCCGAACTCACTGACCTATCAATTTAGGGGGAGCGCAAGCTTGTGTCATCAGGTTCCTGTGTTCTGTGTTTTGATGACTCCTCTCTCTAAGTCTAGGGAGGTCACCCGCTGCCCTCTCCCCCAGTTCATCTTGTGCAAATTACTTATCTGTCGGCTTCTGATGTGCTGTTTTCTGCACATTTTCTGATAAGTAAGGAGATGTCTCGTGTTTCATAGAATGGTAGATTATTCCAAAGACACGCATTTGATGTTGGATGTTTTTCACAAAATAAAACATTTTGTGTTAGATATGGAGACGTGTACCCTTTGGTTATTGCTGTAACCTAATTATACTGTACGTTTTCAGGTTTTATGAAATTACTTCATGCTTTGGATTAATGTGTACGTTTTGTACATATCATTACAAGAAAACCTTTCACCTCCATTGATTCTATACAGATTCAGAACATCCGTGCACATTGTTGTTGTTGTCCTTAAGAGTCTATTAACGCACCTGTGCGTCAATCTAATTAATATAACAAAAAAATCCCCATCAATCTCCGTCAATTTAAGCTAGATATGTGTTTTCTTAAATGGGCTGCGTCTCAATATACTACATCCGCCTATGTCTGCCTTCTGCATCTGCGGTGGAAAGTGGCGGAGCTACAGCGGTTTAGCTAATACAGTATGACCACCGAACACGATGACGTTCTACATTTTGCTCTACGACCCCCACAAGTGTCACGGGACTCATCTTAACATAACCCGGTACCGGTTAAAACATTTTATGGAAGTATGGAGATAGTTTTGTGCCAACTAAAAAAGGTGTTAAATATGTGTTCAAAACCCCCCCAAAGTTTCTGAGCTTTCTTATATCGCTGTATTCCTTATGATTTATTTGTTGACTGTCTGTTTTGCCATTTATGAATGTGTTATTCAATGGGTTTCTATGGGCTGTAGTAGTAAAGGCCAAATTCAATATTTTATCAAATATATACAGTACCAGTCAAAAGTTTGGACACACCTACTCATTCAAGGGTTTTTCTTTATTTGTACTATTTTCTACGTTGTAGAATAATAGTGAAGACATCAAAACTATGAAATAACACATATGGGATCATGTAGTAACCAAAAAAGTGTTAAACAAATCTCAACCAGCTTCCCCTGGAATGCTTTTCCAACAGTCTTGAAGGAGTTCCCACATATGCTGAGCACTTGTTGGCTGCTTTTCCTTCACTCTGCGGTCCAACTCAACCCAAACCATCTCAATTGGGTTGAGGTCGGGTGATTCTGGAGGCCAGGTCATCTGATGCAGCACTCCATCACTCTCCTTCTTGGTAAAATAGCCCTTACACAGCCTGGAGGTGTGTTGGGTCATCGTCCTGTTGAAAAACAATTGATAGTCCCACTAAGCGCAAACCAGATGGGATGGCGTATCGCTGCAGAATGCTGTGGTAGCCATGCTGGTTAAGTGTGCCTCGAATTCTAAATAAATCACCAAGCTATAGACTATTCTCTCTGCTGCCACATGGCAAGGGGTACCGGTGCATCAAGTCTGACACCAACAGGCTCTTGAAGAGTTCTATCCCCTAGCAACACGACTGATAAATAGCTAACAAAATAGTTACACAGACTAAGTTAAACTTATATCTTTATTGACCTTTTATCTCAATTTTTGCAGTCTCTATGCACACACAGGGCCGTACACAGTGACACAGACTGTCACTCCAACACACACACAAACACTCATTCCATCATTTTCTCACTCACACATAATATGGACATACATTTATACTGACTCTACACACCCGCACTCCCACTCACATACAAGCTGCTGCTACTCTGTTTATCTTATGGCCTGTTGCCTTGTCCCCTTACCACTCTACATATCTACCTCCATCACTCCAGTATCCCTGTCCCCTTACCCCTATACATATCTACCTCCATCACTCCAGTATCCCTGTCCCCTTACCCCTATACATATCTACCTCCATCACTCCAGTATCCCTGCACATTGTAAATATGGTATTGGAACTGACTTTTTCAAAATATTTCCTGTATATAGTATGCTTACTTACTTACTTTATTGTGTATTTCATATTTCCTATTCTTATTTATTGTGCTTTTTTCCCCCCTAGTAATACATTGTTATTGATTATTGTATTGTTGGGTTTTGAGTTTGCAAGAAAGGCATTTCACTGTACTTGTGCATGTGACATTAAACTTGAAACTAAACATGTGATGACAATACAACAGAACAGATGAACAGGAATGATATTTACTCTAACGGGTGGCCCCCCAAAAAAATATATATCTTAACGCCACATCCCTACTAGGCCACGATTCCACTCCAGGGTTCCTCCAGGAACTGTTAAGACATTGAACCATTAAAGGTTCCTCCAAGAACCCCTCAACTAACCGAAGGTGCAAATATGAACCATTGAATACCAATGGTTCCTTGAGGACCTCCAGGGTTCCTTGAGGATCTCCAGGGTTCCTCAAGTCATCACTAATTCTAAGAGTGTACGGAGGTCCCTGTACAATAGCCTCATCCTGGCGAATTCTGTAGGATAGTGGGTTGAGGACCCTCATAAACCCTCCAACAAACATTGCTCAGGATTCAAGGTTATTACGATGGCATCTCTGTGAGTAAGCACTTTTACAGGGCAATAACATTGGTCTTCATCGCAGGTTATCCAAAAACATGCCATCGATGACATGCCCTCCTAATGTGACTGCTGATCTGTTGGGTATGAAGCTAACCACATGGGGGAAACTCATCCCTCAACTAAGTTTTTATTACAGTCATGTCAAAAGGTTGATTGATATGCCATTATGACAGAGACTTCCATACCTTTCAGGTATAGGCTACTGGGCGTAAAACCATAGAAATAGAATAATTATAAGTAGTTCTATTTCTATGAATAATAATTATTAGTTATATTTGTATGGATAAAACTACTGATGGAAGTTGTGGATTCACCATTACAGCAAACTATCAAAAACATATTCTAACCAATTAAATTAACCACTAGGGACCCTGTAAGATGTACACTACATGATCAAAAGTATGTGGACACCTGCTCGTCGAACATCTCATTCTAAAATCATGGGCATTAATATGGAGTTGGTCCCCCCTTTGCTGCTATAACAGCCTCCACTCTTCTGGGAAGGCTTTCCACTAGATGTTGGAATATTACTGCAGGGACTTGCTTCCAGTCAGCCACAAGAGCATTAGTGAGGTTGGGCACTGATGTTGGGCGATTAGGCCTGGCTCGCAGTCGGCGTTCCAATTCATCCCAAAGATGTTCGATGGGGTTGACGTCAGGGCTCTGTGCAGGCCAGTCAAGTTCTTCCACACCGATCTCGACAAACCATTTTTGTATGGACCTCGCTTTGCGCACAGGGGCATTGTCATGCTGAAACAGGAAAGGGCCTTCCCCAAACTGTTGCCACAAAGTTGGAAGCACAGAATCGTCTAGAATGGCATTGTATGCTGTAGAGTTAAGATTACCCTTCACTGGAACTAAGGGGCCTAGCCGAACCATGAAAAACAGCCCCAAACCATTATTCCTCCTCCACCAAACTTTACAGTTGGCACTATGCATTGTGGCAGGTAGCGTTCTCCAGTCGGACTGCCAGATGGTGAAGAGTGATTCATCACTCCAGAGAACGCATTTCCACTGCTCCAGAGTCCAATAGTGGCGAGCTTTACACCACTCCAGCCGACGCTTGGCATTACACATGGTGAGCTTAGGCTTGTGTGCGGCTGTTTGGCCATGGAAACCCATTTCATGAAGCTCCCGATTAACAGTTCTTGGACAAACGATTTTTACATGCTACACGCTTCAGCACTCGGCAGTCCCGTCTTGTGAGCTTGTGTGGCCTACCACTTCGCAGCTGAGCCGTTGTTGCTCCTAGAAGTTTCCACTTCATAATAACAACACTTACAGTTGACCGGGGCAGCTCTAGCAGGGCAGACATTTGACGAACTGACTTGTTGGAAAGGTGGCATCCTGTAACATATTTTACTGCCAATGTTTGTATATGGAGATTGCATGGCTGTGTACTCGATTTTATACACCTGTCAGCAATGGGTGTGGCTGAAATAGCCGAATCCACTAATTTGAAGGGGTTCCACATACTTTTATATATATAGTGTATTTTTTTATCACTTGTGGAAAAACAGATTGTGCATCATTGCCAAATAGTACAAATTGTGCATCATTGCCAAATAGTACGAATTGTGCATCATTGCCAAATAGTACGAATTGCGCATCATTGCCAAATAGTATGAGCTGAGGGTATTAAGTAAATATTTGTGCAAATGACAGAAGTTTGGTAGTAGAATTGACTTTGCCAAGGTTTAGGTTTTCCCAGTTGTGGACAGTCCACAGGAGGACGGTGGCACCTTAACTGGTGAGAAGGGGCTGGTGTTAATGACTGGAGTGGGATGAGTGGAATGGTATCAAATACATCAAACACATGGTTTCCAGGTGTTTGATGCCATTCCAATTGCTCTTTTCCGGCCATTATTATGAGCAGTTCTCCCCTCAGCAGCCTCCTGTGGTGGGCTCCAGTAAGGTTTAAGCGAACCGCTTCACCTTCAGTTCACCTTCAGTTTAGGCCGATATGTTTATTTATAAAGCGGGGGCAAAGGCACTTCCTCGGTCTATCTGGGGTCATGCGATCGTCACAACATGGATCCATAAATGAATGGTGTGTGCTCAACTGCTACAACATGCAGGACTGATCCCTGATTGGTTATGGGTTCGTCCAGAATAAACACTCTCAGAGTATATATATATATATATTGTGGAAGGTGTGACAGTTCCAAGAAACGAGAACACTGAAAAGTTCCAAGTTTCCAACAACTTACGCAAATACATTAATTCGTGTTGAGCGCCAAGTGCCCCAGTATATATTCTTTATTAGCCTATTGCAGCTTGAGAATGAGGGCACAAATCCAAAAGGTACCACAGATAGTCGAATTGTTAAAAAATAAAACGGTTGGATTGCAGCACTTCAAGCCAACATCTTCAGTGTGCGTCCTGGACCCGAAGGATGCTGCGGTGGTTGCGCCTTGTCGACAAAGTCTTCCCTCGCAGACTCAGAGCCTTTATTCGATACCTGGACCCACCAATTGGCCGTTATTTGGCAGTTTGATAGAACTACTCCGCAAAGGAGGGCTGCAAAGACAACATGATGCATTGGTAAATGATAAAACAATTATTAAAATTAGGCTATAAGAATAATAAGATTAAGCATTGACAAGAAAATATAATTTTGACAGAGAAAAAATATTCAAATGTTAATTTCGTTTTAATAAATAATCAAAACTGTTTTGGGTGAATTAAATGTATTGTGTCTGATATTTATTTATTTTAGATCCATTACCATAAGAAATTCGGCAAGATTTTCCGGATGAAACTCGGCTCCTTTGAATCGGTCCATATTGGCGCTCCTTGCTTGCTGGAGGCGCTCTACAGAAAGGAGAGCGCTTACCCGCAGCGTCTGGAGATCAAACCCTGGAAAGCATACCGAGACTTCAGAGACGAGGCATATGGACTTCTCATTCTGTAAGTAGCACTTTTCAATATCAGTATGATATCAAGCTATTTTGTTAGCAGAAATATACAGATAAAATAACTAATATTTTTTCCTCATGATTTTTAGGGAAGGGGAAGACTGGCAGAGGGTGAGAAGCGCATTTCAGCAGAAATTGATGAAACCCACCGAAGTCGCGAAACTTGATGGAAAAATAAATCAGGTTTGTAAGATAATTTCTCTGCGGTAAAACAACACAGTTCAACGTGAATTTGATCAAAGAATGTCTGGTATTTACTGTCATTTTGTCTCCAAAATGTAGGTGTTGGCGGATTTCGTTAGTAGAATTGGACAAATGACTGACAATGGACGATTTGAGGACTTGTACTTCGAATTGAATAAATGGTCAATGGAGAGTAAGTAGCCTATTGGACGATTAGGCTATAAATAAATAAGATATTTGTAGCGAGATATCAATTGTTTCTTATATGTAATTCAGATGTATTAAATCAATTACATTATTCTAATGATAATTTCATTGTTTAAAAAAACACAATTTAGTAAACCTCTTATTAGATTGAATACACATTATAATTGATTTGTTACTCAGGAAGAGTTAGTTAATTCATAAATTAATTAATGTTAATCAATTAATGTTTTCAATGTTGTATGATCTAATTATTTATCCTCCTTATGCTTACAGCCATTTGCTTAGTGCTCTATGACAAACGATTCGGACTTCTGCATGACAATGTCAACGAGGAGGCTATGACCTTTATCACGTCCATAAAGACAGTAAGTGGTTATTGATTTTACACATCGAATTACTATTACAGCTGAAGACCCCCGACTTGATAACCTTAGTGATCTTTCTGGAGTGTTGTGGAGTAGTGAACTACATCTATTTCAACTAGTCATTTAACTAGATTTTGCAGTAGCTTGGTGGCAGTTGAACTAAATAAAATTAGTTTTCAATAATTAATTACTTTTTTGCCATGTAGTGTGTAGCTAACTACTGGAACGACACACTACTTTTTGTGAAATAGGCAATCATTTCAGACCTGTCTAATTCTCATTCTGACTTTAGTTAATTAAACTATATTTTTCTTAAGGGTAGCTTTAATGTAGCTTAACTTCTTTCAGTGTGAAGTAATTGGTAGCTTGGTAAACTATATTTTTAAGAGTAGCTTCCCCAACACTGTTTTTTTTATTGACACGGTTAGATTGCGCGCTCGCGCTCTGAGCCTATAGAAAGAGTGCAGGTCATTGAGTTCACTTGAGTGAGTGGGATATAATCACCACTGCGACAGTTACTGATGTAGCAATAGACTATCTGACTCTCGGCTCGGGGCTGGCAGTAAATTACTGGAACAAACCAATATAACATGCAGGAGATAAAAACATCATAAAAAAGGTCATTAAAAAAAATGGTTGTTATAGTAACCATGGTCATGTGCTATAAGTTGACATTGAAATATGTAGGAAGAATTTGGAAATGACTGGTTACTTGCAACAAGGCATTCTTACTGTATGTCTTTATTTGATTGTTACATTTCAAGTCTCTCTTTCTCTCTCTCTCTCTCTCTATATATATATATATGTGTAGATGATGAGCACATTTGGCATGATGATGGTCACGCCAGTGGAGCTCCACAAAAAACTGAACACCAAAACATGGCAGGACCACACTATGGCGTGGGACCGTATATTCAGCACAGGTACAAACAACCCCCTCTAAAACCTCTTCAATGCTCTCGACTCTCGCTTCCAACTCCCCTCCCCATTCCTCTAAAGTAACCTCCCCTCCATGTCTCCTCTGTCCCCCCTGAAAGCTCAATGGCCCCTGCTCTGTCTCCCAACCACCCCGCTAAAGCAACCCCATCCTCTTTCCCCCTTTTTAAAACCACAACCTCCAGTCAAGCAACCCCCAAAACCCCACCACCCCCCCCACCCACCCCCACTAAAAACCCGCAAAAAAAAACCAAAAGAAAAACAAAAACCACCCCACACCACAACCAAAAAACCACCCCCCAAAAAGCCCAAAACCCACAACACAACACCCCCAAACCCCACACAATCCACCCCCCACTAACACCACCCCACCCCCAACCCCCCAACCCCCACAACCACCACCCACACCCCACCACCCACCCACACCCCAACACCCACCCACCACCCCACACACCCACCCCACCCCCACCCCACCCCCACCCCCACCCCCCCCCACACCCCACCCCCCCCCACCCCCACCCCCGCTCTCACCTTCCCAACTGCCCTCCCTCTAAAGTAACCTCCTCTCCATGTCCTCTCTCCCCCTGATGAAACCTCTCAGCCTGCCACATTCACTTTAAACCCCTCCCTAGGCACCCCCCAATCCCTCCAACACAGCGCGTGCTCTGCAGCTCTTTCTCCAGATGACGTATGACTCACAAACTGCTTTGAGCACATTTCCAGTCAGGTGATAGGAGAGAGAGCGAGAGATATGAACCGGGTGCCTCTGTGATCAATGCACTTGGCTCTCCCCCTCTTACGCGACACAGCCAGAGTGGTAGTAAACCGGATGACCTAAGGGGGAGAAGTCTCCCAAATATTTGTAATAGTGGGAGGGATGGCGGGATGGATGGATGGCTGGAGGGGAGGGGGGAGGAGGAGAAGGGGGGAGTGGAATGTTGGCTCAGGACATTGCTACTGATCGTTTGTTGTGCTGCTTGCTTGGCAGTGGTTTGCAGGCACCTGTCCCCCTCTCTTACACACACACACACACACACACACACACACACACACACACACACACACACACACACACACATACACACACACACACACGCCACTGGCATAGCACACCACCCAAGGCGGGGGGGGGGGGGGCAGATAGAATATGAACACATCATAAGCCATTAATTATACTTTTTTTAATTACAGTAAATTAGCTTTAAAACTGCAAAATTTTCTCTCAGTCTCATGGCAAAATGGGCAGGAAATTAGCTCAGGGATTCTTGAAAGCCGGTACAATCCTTGTCCAGCAGGGAAACTTTATTTTGACAGTTAAAAAAAAAATGATTTTGTTGCATTATTTGAGCTTAAAATTTACATTTACAGGAATTTTATGAGGGAAAATATTTGTTTTGGGAATTTTCTGAATACTTTCAATATTATTAATTTCCATGTCGGTTCTATGCCTTGAAATGCCCTTGTCCGGAGCAAAATATTCCAATTTCAAATAATGGATATTAGCTGAAAAATGATCTTATGTTGTTTCTTGTAATAGCCCTCTGTGACTTTAAAAAATATTTATCTAAAAACTGTAGTTCCTAAAAGATGTGTCTGGAGATTTAGTGAACTCCGTCAGATTGGTCGAAAATCCTAAATGAATCAGGAATGAGCAGGGTCAGCTATTCCATTAGGACCCCTTCTTCATGTCCTCATTACATGTAGTGGAAGTTCTCTACTTTTTATAGATTTAAACAATCAGAATGACCATGGTCACAACAATAAACTGCCAACGCTATCTGCCTGATAGATTAAGATTGAATGTGAATTATGGTTAAAATATGTTACATTTAATTTGGCTTTAGAGTTATAAAGCAACTGAGGAAGAACTAAATTGCTACTGTGTATACCACTTGAATGAAGAAGATGATATATATTTTTTGTCAAAATGTTGTCTAACGTCAACTCAACTCAACTTGGGGATTTTCAAATGAATCATTTTCATTTTCCATATTTTACAAATGTTTGTATGTTGTGCTTGTGGCTAAGTTCAGGAGATAAAAGGTGTTTGAGGGCTTTTGAAAGTAGCAATAGGGAGTGGAAGTGAGTGAGGTCATTTTATGGCTTGTTTACTATAGACTTCATGTTTGTAGACGTTTACAATTGTCATTGTTTTACGACAGGTTACAGCTTTCCTCAAATGGAATCCATGTTTTGGTGGATAAAGTTGACCTTTAGAATGGCTTTAAAAATTGACAATATGTAAAGTCATTGTTACCTAGTCTTATACTGTATATATCAATCAGTTCATTATTTCACATTTGTCTCTTGTTGTTGTCTCCAGCCAAAGTCTACATAGACAAGAACATAAAGAGCCACGCAGACGCAACAGGGCCCAGTGACGACTTTCTGTGTGACATCTACCGCCACAGTCACCTGTCCAAGAAGGAGCTGTACGCCGCCATCACAGAGCTCCAGATCGGAGGAGTAGAGACGGTAAGGATCAGTTGACAAATGTAACAGAGATGGTTCGGTGAACCACGCTCGCATGATGAGTATCCTTGCTAATAATTTAGCTTCACAACATTGAAGTGTGATAGGCCTCCAGTTTTTTTAGGTGAACTGTGTTGAGTAATGTTGCTTGAGACCTGAAGACTTGCTTTATGCCTAGGCGTTAGCTTAGCGGGCTAACAGTCTTGAGACCTGGGTTCGAATCTTGGTCTGTCAAACAACGATAGGGCCAGACTTATCCTTCACTTGCACCAGCACCTATTTCACTATTCTATTTTCCTTTATTTTCCTTCATTCCTTACTTTGACCTTTTTTATTCTACGTTTGAAGTCCCTCCCTGTGAGAGAAGAAACAAACAGGTGGTTCAAAGGTCATTTGGTCTGCTGTCCGGATGTGACCGAAATGGCCTTGAGGAACCCCACGCATTCCTCAGCTCCATTAACTGTAGGACCCCTCTATGGAATTCAGTTCATAGTATCTCTCTGACTGAGTCTGACCTCTCTCTCTCTCTCTCTCTCTCTCTCTCTCTCTCTCTCTCTCTCTCTCTCTCTCTCTCTCTCTCTCTCTCTCTCTCTCTCTCTCTCTCTCTCTCTATCTCTATCTCTCTATCTCTCTCTCTGTTGATGTTTTCTAGACTGCCAACAGCTTGCTGTGGGCTATTTTCAACCTCTCCCGTAACCCCTGCGCTCAGGGGAAGCTGCTCCAGGAAATCAGAGAGGTTCTCCCTGCCAATCAGAGTCCCAGTGCTGAGCACCTCCAGAGAATGCCCTACCTCAAGGCCTGCCTCAAGGAGTCCATGAGGTACAGTAAGATCAATCAATCAATGAAATTGTACACAGACTGTACAGTATGTCACTCAAACACAATTGCAAAACACATTTGGTAGGTTAGGCTAGCTATATCCCTCAGGTCTTAATCTGAAATAGCCATACAGTTGCAGATACTGACAGAGTATCAATTGAGTAGTTACGTAATGTCGAACCACCCATTCCCTCTGTAATTCAAAAACAACTGTAGGCTACGCAGGAATACCTGAAAAACAAGCAATTTACAGTGAGATAACTAGTTATGACTATTGGGATGACCATTCACTCCAGTTTACAGTGAGATAACTAGTTATGACTACTGGGACGCCAATTCACTCCAGTTTATAGTGACATAACTAGGTATGACTACTGGGACGACCATTCACTCCAGTTTATAGTGAGGTAACTAGGTATGACTACTGGGACAACCATTCACTCCAGTTTATAGTGAGGTAACTAGGTATGACTACTGGGACGACCATTCACTCCAGTTTATAGCGAGGTAACTAGGTATGACTACTGGGATGACCATTCACTCCAGTTTATAGTGAGGTAACTAGGTATGACTACTGGGACGACCATTCACTCCAGTTTATAGCGAGGTAACTAGGTATGACTACTGGGATGACCATTCACTCCAGTTTATAGCGAGGTAACTAGGTATGACTACTGGGATGACCATTCACTCCAGTTTATAGCGAGGTAACTAGGTATGACTACTGGGATGACCATTCACTCCAGTTTATAGTGAGGTAACTAGGTATGACTACTGGGACGACCATTCACTCCAGTTTATAGCGAGGTAACTAGGTATGACTACTGGGATGACCATTCACTCCAGTTTATAGTGAGATAAATAGGTATGACTACAGGGACGACCATTCACTCCAGTTTATAGTTTAAAAACTAGGTATGACTACTGGGACGACCATTCACTCCAGTTTATAGTGAGGTAACTAGGTATGACTACAGGGACGACCATTCACTCCAGTTTATAGTTTAAAAACTAGGTATGACTACTGGGACGACCATTCACTCCAGTTTATAGTGAGATAATTAGGTATGACTACTGGGACGACCATTCACTCCATTTTATAGTGAGGTAACTAGGTATGACTATTGGGACGACCATTTACTCCAGTTTACAGTGAGGTAACTAGGTATGACTACTGGGACGACCATTCACTCCAGTTTATAGCGAGGTAACTAGGTATGACTATTGGGACGACCATTCACTCCAGTTTACAGTGAGATAACTAGTTATGACTATTGGGAGAACCATTCACTCCAGTTTATAGTGAGGTAACTAGGTATGACTACTGGGACGACCATTCACTCCAGTTTATAGCGAGGTAACTAGGTATGACTATTGGGACGACCATTCACTCCAGTTTACAGTGAGATAACTAGGTATGACTACTGGGACGACCATTAACTCCAGTTTATAGTGAGGTAACTAGGCATGACTACTGGGATGACCATTCAATCCAGTTTACAGTGAGGTAACTAAGTATGACTACTGGGATGACCATTCACTCCAGTTTATAGCGAGGTAACTAGGTATGACTATTGGGACGACCATTCACTCCAGTTTACAGTGAGATAACTAGTTATGACTACTGGGATGACCATTCACTCCAGTTTATAGCGAGGTAACTAGGTATGACTATTGGGACGACCATTCACTCCAGTTTACAGTGAGTTAACTAGTTATGACTACTGGGACGACCATTCACACCAGTTTATAGTGAGGTAACTAGGTATGACTATTGGGACGACCATTCACTCCAGTTTACAGTGAGGTAACTAGGTATGACTACAGGGACGACCATTCACTCCAGTTTATAGTGAGGTAACTAGGTACAGAGCTGCAGGAAGTAGGGTTGCTGAAAAATCCTATTCAAATACAAAAAAAATAGATTTTGTTTTTTTGGGGGGGGGGGGGGGGTTATTATAATAATTTATTCACAAAAGTAGTTCACTGGGCCTTTACTACATCTGTATTAGCGGACCGATACAGCCCTCTGCAGCAAAAATTCTGCACCCCTCCTCCCTGTCCCCCAAGTCGGCGAAAAAATCACAGCACCTCCACCCCCAAACATCTTCCCGCGGCTATGAGTAGGTATGACTACTAGGACGACCATTCACTCCAGCTTATAGCAACAACAGTAGGGTCACGTTGTTGTCCATAAATACCCTAGTACTACTACACCGATAATAACACCCAATCTCGTGATGATGTCACAAGAGTTTGAAACTAACATGTGTTTTGAAAGGTTAATGTGGAAACTCACACAGAGAATGCTTATGACGTTTGACAGGGGATTAGCTATATTTCCTTTCAACTTGCCTTTTGAAATGGTTTGAGTATGTTTAACTGATCCTAAAGAGCTTATATGTATATATATCCCCTTGCTTCAAGGCTATATTCCCAAGCACTGTTTTCAAATTCCTGCAGGTTATCGCCGTCAGTTCCCTTCACGAGTCGGACCTTAGACAAAGACACTGTGTTAGGGGATTACTCCATTCCCAAAGGGGTAAGTGGATTACTTCGCTTTCCCTCATTTAAGAGCACATGTTTGGGCGATTACAGTCTCGGATCAATTAACATGTACATTTGATTGATGTCTAATCAAGATTTTTTTGTTTTTCATTTGCAGACAGTGTTGATGATCAACAGCCATGCTCTGGGTGCTAATGAGGAGTACTTTGAGCACAGTAGCCTCTTTAAGCCAGAGCGTTGGTTAAGAGAGAGCAGCACCATCAACCCCTTTGCCCATGTGCCGTTTGGCATTGGGAAGAGGATGTGCATCGGACGGCGTCTGGCAGAGCTACAACTGCAGTTGGCACTCTGCTGGGTAAGAACAACCAGCTGTGCCCCCAAAATGACCGCCAAGTCGCCAACATTGTAATATCACCGCAGGTAGTGCTGAACACCTGAGGGACGAAATACAGAATATTACTCTCTCTTCTTGAATCGGGTTTAAAGTTACTGTGCCTTCGGAAAGTATTCAGACCCCTTGACCTTTTCCACATTTTGTTACGTTACAGCCTTATTCTAAAATGGATTAAATAAAACAATCATTCTACACACAATACCCCATAGTGACAAAGTGAAAGGATTTTAGACATTTTTGCAAATGTATTAAAAATAGAAACTTAAATACCTTATTTACATAAGTATTCAGACCCTTTGCTATGAGACTCGAAATTGAGCTCAAGTGCATCCTGTTTCCATTGATCATCCTTGAGATGTTTCTACAACTTGATTGGAGTCCACCTGTGGTAAATTAAATTGATTGGACATGATTTGGAAAGACACACTCCTGTCTATTTAAGGTCCCACAGTTGACAGTGCATGTCAGAACAAAAACCAAGCCATGAGGGCGAAGGAATTGTCCGTAGAGCTCAGAGACAGGATTGTGTCGAGCCACAGATCTGGGGAAGGGTACCAAAACATGTCTGCAGCATTGAAGGTCCCTCAAGAACACAGTGGCCTCCATCATTCTTCAATGGAAAAAGTTTGGAACCACCAAGACTCTTCCTAGAGCTGGCCGCCTGGTCAAACTGAGCAATCGGGAGAGAAGGCCCTTGGTTAGGGAGGTGACCAAGAACCTGATGGTCACTCTGGTAGAGCTCCAGAGTTCCTCTGTGGAGATGGGCGAACCTTCCAGAAGGACAACCATCTCTGCAGCACTCCACCAATCAGGCCTTTATGGAGTGGCCAGACGGAAGCCACTCTTCAGTAAAAGGCACATGACAGCCTGCTTGGAGATTGCCAAAAGGCACCTAAAGGACTCAGACCATGAGAAACAAGATTCTCTGTTCTGATGAAACCAAGGTTGAACTCTTTGGCCTGAATGCCAAGCGTCACGTCTGGAGGAAACCTGGCACCATCCCTATGGTGAAGCATGCTGGTGGCAGCATCATGCTGTGGGGATGTTTTTCAGCGGCAGAGACTGGGAGACTAGTCAGGATCGAGGGAAAGATGAACAGAGCAAAGTACAGAGAGATCCTTGATGAAAACCTGCTCCAGAGCGCTCAGTACCTCAGACTGGGTTGAAGGTTCACCTTCCAACAGGACAACAACCCTAAGCACACAGCCAAGACTTCGAGACAAGTCTCTGAATGTCATTTGTGGCCCAGCCAGAGTACGGACTTGAACCCGATCGAACATCTTTGGAGAGACCTGAAAATAGCTGTGCAGCAACGCTCCCCATCCAACCTGACAGAGCTTGAGTGGATCTGCAGAGAAGAATGGGAGAAACTCCCCAAATACAGGTGTGCCAAACTTGTAGCGTCATACCCAAGAAGACTCAAGGCTGTAATCACTGCCAAAGCTGCTTCAACAAAGTACTGAGTAAAGGGTCAGAATACTTATGTAAATGTAATATTTCTGTTTTTTTTATTTTTATGAATCTTCAAAAATGTATAAAAACCTGTTTTAGCTTTGTCATTATGGGGTATTGTGTGTAGATTGATGAGGGGAAAAAAACAGGTTAATCCATTTTAGAATAAGGCTGTAACGTAACAAAATGTGGAAAAAGTCAAGGGGTCTAAATACGTTCCGAATGCACTGTATATAACTTTAAGTTGTTCCAAGAAGACGTTGTCCTACGTGCTTCAAATTTGAAAAGGATTTGTATGTCACCATGTGAGTCTTACCTCAATTAATATTGATGTTCCTTTTACATGCCCTTCATTATCTAACGATTGCTATTTTTCCCCCTCTTTCTATAAGGTGGTCAGAGATTATGAAGTTGTGGCGACAGATGGTGAACCAGTTGATGCTATCCATTCCGGATTGCTAGTTCCCAGCCGTGAACTCCCTGTGGCTTTCATCAGACGATGAGGTAGGAATAAAACTCACTCTTGAATATACCTCAAAATCATCCATATACTGAGGCTTAAATCAGAGTTAAGACAACATATAACATATACACTGTATATATATAAATATATACAATTTATAATATATATAACATATATCAAATGTATATAACACATATATATAGCATATCAAATATATGTATGGGGGAAACTACAAAGAAAAAAGTACATTCAATTCCCTAACAGTCAGGAAACACATCAGAAGGTTTTTAAATCTTACATTTGATTCCATATGTTATTTTTTCCTAAACAGATCATGTACAGACCATTTGGACCTCACAACAGAAAATGATAGTTCTGTGCCTGAACGTCCAGAGAGACTCCCTATACTGCTGCTCTGTAAATAACAAAGAAATATATCAGATATAAATATATATTTATTTAATCCTGTCCAGTATAACTCAAACTAATATAAATGTATTTAAACTATTAAATATGAGAGTTAGTCTACTTGTTGACCACTATGTCACTTGTGACGCACGGCAGCTGCACCTACTGCACACTAATCTTAAACGACTGTTCTTATATCGAATATATTAATGAAATTATGACTTTTGTATATGTTGTGTCCTTATGGTAAAATGTATAAAGGCTACTTATGTTTCTTTTTTTGTGTATAAAGTGCAATTATAGTGTCAACATGATTTAGGCCTACATGTAACATTGTAGTTCTTAGAGAGAATATATTCATGTAAAAATAAATATATTTAATCCACTTTCTGTTTTTGTTGCAGAAATGTTCATGTTTGAAATTTAAATTACTTTGCAGAATATGATTTAAGATTAATACAACTGTGTCATAGCCACACACAAAAGCTAAGGACCTAATGATGTATGACTTTGGTATATCATAGTAATCAAGTGTTATTTGAGTGTGAAAATGGAATGGAATGCACCATATGGCAATCTTACTGGCGCTTCTGCTCAGCTCAGGGCTGCTATTCAGTCACACCTGCATTAGCAATGTCTACTTCAACTATCTACACAGCATAGTGTAGCTATAGTCTTAAAACAAAACATTTAATAGAGATGACATGTCAGCATACACTGCCCCCCTCTGCCATTCAGTGATGTGCTACAGTTGTCTTTAATATTACAAGTAGTTGTTTATTATAATTTCATACGTTTAACTCACTGCAAATGTTTGGTTTGTCTAATCTGGTATTAATGGTCTGAAATGCATAATCTGCTGAAAAGTGGTAATATTGTTCATTTATGCTTTGGGAATTTAGTGTATTTCAGGTACTTAAGCAATAAGGCCTGAGGGGGTGTGGTATATGGCCAATATACCACGGCTAAGGGCTGTTCCTATGCACTATGCATCGTGGAGTGCCTGGATACAGCCCTTAACCGTGGTATATTGGCCATATAGCACAAACCCCAGAGGAGCCTTATTGCTATTATAAACTGGTTACCAACGTAATTAGAGCAGTAAAAATACATGTTTTGTCATACCCTTTGTATACTGTCTGATATACCACAGCTCTCAGCCAATCAGCATTCAGGGCTCAAACCACCCAGTTTATAATATAGCATTTGCATGTATCTTACTGATGTAACATCTTTTAAAAAGAGGGGAGAGAGATAGGTATAGGACTGCAGTGTTTAAATCAATGATTTATATATACACTAGATGACTGATATAGGGCACTGTGTTGTAATGTCTACCTGTTATTCATTACCCAAAGCTGAAAGTACTGTATCATGGTCCTTTGATTTGAAATACACTGATTTGAAATACACTGATTGGAAATACACTGATTGGAAATACACTGATTTGAAATACACTGATTTGAAATACATTGATTTGAAATACACTGATTTGAAATACATTGATTTGAAATACACTGATTTGAAATACACTGATTTGAAATCCATTGATTTGAAATAGACTGATTTGAAATACACTGATTTGAAATCCATTGATTTGAAATACACTGATTTGAAATACACTGATTGGAAATACACTGATTTGAAATACGCTGATTTGAAATACACTGACTTGAAATACACTGATTTGAAATACACTGATTTGAAATTCACTGATTTGAAATACATTGCTGGGTATTTTAGACAGTGTACTTCTGCCATCTACTGTTCAAAACATATACTTTGTGGTCAAGTCACGAGATGTCTTGTATCACAAGAAGAAACTGATTTGGACTGAATTACATAATAATGTCATTTCTGATAACACAATTTATGTTGACATTATGAAAATATTATGAATCTGTAGTCTACAATAACGGTCCATTTAGTTTTGTTTTATTTCAGTATACATGGGAGCTAAAAGCTGAATTGCGTACAACAGGAAATACAAGAAGACATAGCTAAATCAATAAATGTGATACAGGAAAGATAATTATGCAGTATAGTAAGAATGAAATAGTAAGAATAATGATGTAGTAATGTAGTAGTATTATCATTATAATATAGTTATAGCATCATATAGCATATCATGTTTTTTTAACCCTCATACTACCTACCGCCTGGAGTCATTTCCAGGCATATTTCTGATCATAGCCCAAAAGTGATTGACTTTGTCAATCAACTTGTTCTTAATAAATCAAGATCATTGTTTAGTGTTTCTGTACCAATATGGACTTTTAAAAAAATGCAATTCCTTTGGGGTCAGTTTGACCCAAGCCAAAACAAATGAATTCCGCCTATAGTAATTTGATTGATAGGACCTTTATTTGAATCTAGGTTTTCTCTGGAGACATAATATCAAGGCATCCATACCGTCAGTGACCAGATAGACAGATCATCTGCTGAGATATACAGCAGCTCCCCATGTACTCACCTAAGAGTGTACTTTTCTATACCACATATTGTGTGACTGTGTACAAAACCAAAATTACCTTATTTTTGTGCATATAGAAATCTGTCAATGGTATAAAAAGTCTGTCAGTGGTATATATATACTTGATATAACTGCACTCAGATACACTATGAATCTACATAGAGATCTGTATTGGTGTGTATTCTCAGAAAAGTAGCTGTTCTAGGGCAAATCAAAAAA